TCCAGAAAAAGACAGTATTTCTGCCCACAAACACTGGTTTGTCTATGTCCTTAGATTCTGCCAGTTAGAGCAAACTGCTGATATGAGTGTTTAACAGAATAGCTTTTTTATTTTTTTAATAGCAAGTATAAATGCATATTCTGTGAAATACTCTTGAAAATTGTAAACCTGTATTTTACTACTTAATACATTTTATCTCCCCATATTTTTTTCAACTATCAGGAATACAATTTTACATACATAAATGCTTTCATTAAACAAAAAAGGCTTTGCAGAATTGGTGCTGTTTAAATGATAGCAACTGAATTAGAGGAGGAACAAGCATAATTCTTTCTTACTGACAGTTAACTGTGGTGAAGGTTAATGTTAGATACCAAAGCAGGTTAGGTTGCATTTATTGAATGTCTGTGAGCTGTGTATCAAAACCATAGGCCTTTTAAGTAAAAGGACATGGGATGTACAATCAGGACTATGTAGGAAAAGCTGCTGTTTCTGATTTTTTGCAAGGCAAATGTCATAGCATTATTTCAGAATTAATCTAGTTTGAAATCTAAGACTCTGGTTCCCTGTGAATGTCTTCAGTGCTGGTGCTGAATAATGTAGTCCCTGCTGCTTTTCCTGCTCTCTGCACCAAACTCTCCACTGTACAGCAGGTCTCTTTATGAAGCCCTGCAGTGCATCAGCTAAAAGTAGTGTTATTTTCTCTCTTCCAAGTCCTTCTGCAGCAGGACCAGTTACTTAAATTGATGCACTGTACAGAACAGTGGAGAAGTTTGAATAGCTGGAGGCAGAGAATGGCAGAGGGAAGGCAGATCCAGTTAAGGAGCAGTGCCATAGTTAAGAAATTACAGCCTTACTTGATGCTTACGTGGTAAGAGTTTGTGGCATAGTGTTGTAAAAATTTTAATTATGAAAACCAATTTTAAGAGTAAGTTTAACTAATGAGTTCTAATTATGCCTTCTATGCATGAAGCCATGTAACCTTCCCTATGTTACTTCATGAATTTGCAATATCTGTTTCCTGAAGTAGCCTCATCTAGATTTGAGACATAATATTCTATTCATTTGCACTCATTCAGTAGTCTTTCTCCTAAAGCTTCTTGCCTGTCTAAAGGAGTCTGTAGAACACACACACACACAGACACACAAAGTGCTACAGTAATGATCTTATGAAATTAGATGTACGAAGATAGAGGGGGATGTTAAAACGTGCTTGAAAAATCTACTGCAGGAAACTGGAGGAAATAAACAAAACTACATACTCCTAAATCTGAATTACCAATTAAATGACATGGTGGGTAAACCTGTTCCTGTGCCACCTCAAGTCTTTATCTCTGGTGCGGGTTCACAGCACAGCATTGGTGTGTAAGACCAGCACTGAGCCCATGGAAATAATTTAGTCTGTAGATTATAGCACCAAGCAGCTAAGCAATACACGATCAGAACAAAGGTACATGACCATAAATTCATAAATTAAATATAATGTAATGTAGAGATAAAGGAAACTCTCAAGAAATGTCCTGGAGAACTGTGAGGAAATGTAATGCATAGAATGACAGAGATCCTGGAGGGCCTGAAGGTACAGAGGCAGTATAAATGGAAAAACAGATTGAAAAGCCAGCCAGAGTCTGCAGCAGGCAACCTTACCACATGTTGATATACTGAAACTTCTGCTACTAACTTTTACTTTGTTCAAGATGGAAGCCTTTGCTGATTCCTTTCTTTTAGGAACTCTCAGTTATAAGGATCCTGAACTCAAACTTGTCCTTTATTTCAGAATTAAAAGCACATTCATTCTCTGGATACAGTCTACAGTCCTTTGATTACTGGTTTTTCCCATGCAGGATTAATAAACTAAGATTTTTGAGGTTTCCCTTTGGCCTTTCTGAAGAATTCATTCCTTTATTCCATACGTTACAGGTCCGTCATTCAACTTCTTGACCTAGATGCCTTTTCTATGAAACTAGTCTCAAGAGGTGTACCCAAACAGAGCCATCAGCGCATCTGTCTTGTCTTTATAGTTCAGTGCATTTGGTTAGGCTGCTTTTCATCCATTAACAGTTACAGGTATGAATGCTATAACAAAATACTTTGATCTCACTTGAAATATATGTATTTGTATTGCTAGAAGTCCACAAAGGGGCCAGTGAATGACTGGAGAAAGTATTAGCAGACTTAGGGTTTCACTGTGTTTCTCAGACAGACAAAAAACCAGGCTTTTAAAGAGTTTTCTTGACAAGTTGGAAACATTACTTGAGACCTGCCTCTAGTACTGTCTAGTGCAGTTATATCTTTTCTGGCTGCTGCTATTACATAAGAAGGTTTTTCCTAAACTAAATACGCCCCAAGCGTTTTCATTCAGATTATAAAGCTTAGTAGAACAACACAGAAATATGTATTTGATTACTGTTGATACACATGCAGTAATTTAATAGAACAATGAAACAAAAGTTCTTCTGTTCCCTATATTGAGCCCTGAACACAGCTCTTAGCAATCCTTGAATAATTAAACACTTGTTTGCTAGTAAACTTCCCTCTCCTTCCTTTACTGATTTAAAAACCATATGTTATCATGTAACTAAACTGCCAGGACTGTATATCTAATAATTCAGAATAACTTTCATTTAAAAGCAATATTTAAAGGAATAGTCTCAAAAATACTATATGTATAATGGTCTGAAATTCAATAAGTTTCATTAGGAAAAATAAGACCCAATTTATTAAAGACATGCTTTTTTGCCAAATAAATCCATTTACTTGTAATTTAGCATTGTATTCCATAAATCCTTCTCCAGTTTCCTTCAGTCCCTTCTTTAAATAATAAGCTTGAGCAATAAACAATATCCATATATTCTTAATTTTATACATATTTCAGCTAATTATATTATGTCCATGGATAACTTGCTAAATTTTACTTTTTAATATAATTATCTTCTCACCATTTACACAGAAGAAGAGTCAGAAAGTAAGTGAAATATCTGTGCTAATGATGTAAAATTAATTTTTCTGTGCCTCTCGAAAAGCCAGAAGAAGTGGCCTGAAGGTACCCGTTTTTATGATCTCTTAAATAGGGCAAATCGGAAAAGTGAAAGTAACAGTGTAAGAATGAGGTGAATACTACGATTATTTATTAAAATAATCAGGTTATCTAACAGGCAGTTCACATTTTGCATGACATAGTAAAAATTTTCAAGGTGGAGAAGTAGCAAACCTTGCAGTGGTTTATTTTTTGTGGTTGGTTGGGGTTTTTTTGGCCTTTAGAGAACTGGCATGAGAATTATTTTCCTGCTAAAACCATGAAAAAGCTGACTACTGAGCTTTTCATTCCATCAAAACTGAAACACTGTCACACAAACATGCAGTTGATTAGGGCTGGAGTAAGTGCAAGGATAGCAAATGGAAACTGTAAAATGACCAGCTATGATAATTTTCTTATGCTAATCTTTTATTTGAGAGGCTGTAATTTGGGAATATCTTGCTCTGTGACAAGCCCTGCAATAGCCTCTCAGACGTTAAACCCTGGATTAAAAACTCTGCTCTAAACCGCTAGTGTTAACAAGACTAGCTGTCTCAGTTGAAGTAAAGCTATTTGCTCAAATCAAAAAGGTGAGACTCCCAAGTCAGGAGAGGCAGAAACAACCAGACTAGTGGCACCACCTCAGCATCAGTTAGGGATTACTTTCCACAGTTTAGAAGTAAAAAGTGCAGCTGTTGTATGCTGACATCATCAGAAAATTACCTCAATTCAAAGCATCACTGTCCTGAGGAAGCAATGTGTACTGAGAGAGTGCATCCAGGGACAGTCTAACGAAATGAGTCATCTGAACTCCCTCTCTTAGTATTTGGGAAGTTGCTTTGCAAAATTCAGGTATTGGTTTTCTGGAAATGCAGATAAGTTATGTTTTAAGTTACTATGCTCTGATCAAATTCCAAATTGGGAAACGCTGCCTTTAATTTGTTCTTAAAAAAAAGGGATGCATAAAGGTTTGTCGTGAAGATGACCTAAAATGAAATATTTTTATTGACATTTCTCATGGCATTTGTGTTCAGACTAATTTCATGAAGAAAAATCAATCCCCTTATCTGCTGAAGTGCTTTGAAATATTTGGGGTTAAAGTTATCTTTTCATAACTGACATTTACCTTGTTTTCCTAGTATATTTACCCTATTTTTTATTGTTTTAAAAATATTTGAATAAGAAACAGAATTCCAGAAAAAAAAAAAAAGACCCAAAATGTCACTGCTCTAGTTCACAGTGGTAAATGCAATGCACTGCAGATTATTTGAGATATCTAAAGAGACATCCAGTCGGAACTATCCACGGGTCCTAAGGCAAAGAATCTATGAAAGCTGGTTTCATAAAAGTAGATATTTCAAGGAAAGGAGTGATTTCCTGAAAGCTGAAAACAGCCTCCAGCATTTAGCACCTGGACAGAACCTGCCTCTCCTTTAAAGTGTAGTCTACTAATTTAAACTATGATCATTTGAGTTTACAGGTCCTCACTGACTAATACATTGGATTTATTTTCCTTTCTTCCATTCCATCCAACATTTACTATTCATCCATTGTGTCATTTTCTTTAGACTATAATTTATCTGCAGCAATGACTATAATTTTTGTCTGTATTTGTACAGTCAGCCTCAGTAGCCTATAGGCATTAGTGTTATGTAACTATTCAAAATAAAAATAACGAAATCACCACCAGGTATTTATTAATAAAATTAATAAATCACAGAGGACAAAAATACTTACTTATTATGAGAATATAAAATCAACTAATAAGGGTATGTCACAGAAATATTCC